ATATATATATGTATATGTGTGTGTATATATATATATATGTATGTATATATGTGTGTGTGTGTGTATATATATGTGTGTGTGTGTGTTTATTCAGCTAAACAGTTAAAAATATAATAATTTTAAGTTTTTACACATTAAGTGACGCAGGGATGAATTTAATAACGTGCTGATTATTGTAATTTCACTGCATCAAATTTAAAGCTGCTTCACCCTTTTATGAACAGTAAACAAAACATTAAAAAGTCATTTTAGAAACCTTTATCAGAACTGTTTACTGATCATAAGAAGTACATTTTTTATTCACATGTTCAATTCATCTCTTTCTGAAAGTGGCAATCAAAAGTTAGAATTATTGATACACATCTTAATTTGTTATTACAAATGATTATGTGTTTCCCATGAGTAGTTCCGCATGGCCTGTGAGTGTAAACTACTATGATAGGAAATAATCTGCAACCCATCACGGGATAATAACTAAATATAGATGGTCAACAACCTAGAATAGACAACACTGTTGTGGAACAGTCAGTGTTGTCTATTGAGTAATTGGTGAGTAATTTGCCATGTGACAGAGTGTGTGTGTGTGTGTGTGTGTGTGTGCGTGCGTGTGTGTGTGTGTGTGTGTGTGTGTGTGTTGCCAGAGGTGAAAAGGTGATCACAGATTACTCAGATTACCCTTTCGACTTTCCCTGGGTGTTTGGTTGAGTCTTTGCACACGTGAATCAGAGAAGGGATTCACATTCAATCACATTGCCACACATTTATCCGATAATGTCGTGTACTTACTAAATTAATTTGTCTACAATAACTGTAGTCTTTGTGACGAAAGATTTGTTTGTGGGAGTGCTATTGGCAAGAATTTTGTAGTTATGGTTTGTTTATTTTTGCCTTCACAGAAGCACTGGTTGATGGCGTTTGTGCGACAAAGTGGTGACTACTGCCACGCCCAACACATGTAGACCCAACCAATGATGTATTTGTATCATGCAGTTGTGGGACCCTGAAGTCTGAAAAAAAACAAATTGTGCCTGGCCAAAAAAGCCATCTGATGGGGTAACAAGTGGGGCCTCCAAATTTAAGTGGAGAAGGACTGGAAGACCTTCACTTGCAGAGCATAAGGGACTGGAAAGAACTGATATCAGTTTTGTGATATTAAAACACAGAGCTGACACATTGTTGCCTCCTGGGCTACGCAAAACCGATGGGGTAAAATATTTTCCTCCATTTTGAAATCATCTTTTAAATTTCAACATTTACATCCACCCAACGATTCAGCCATCCATTGAAGTCTCAGCAGCTATACAGCTGGAAATAAAGGTAAGAAGTTTCATCAATGTGGTGACCACATTTTGAACCATAACTATGCACTGTGTTGTATTTTTGATTTCACTAGTTGGAAATGAAGTGAATTGTTTTTTGTTGATCAGTGTAACTTTCAATGTCATTCGTCTATTTATCAGCACTCGAACTAAAATAGTTGCTGCAAACACGTTGGGGCATGCAAGGCATCCGTGATTACGGCATTTTAAATTGCATTCCAAACTGTGAACACGTTCCTGTTATCTCATGTCCCTTATTTGCATACAGGAACATGATTAGACAGTATGACACCGTACAAGGTAACACTCAGTTGGTATTGTCACATGTCACGTTTTTATTAAACATTCTGAATGTTTGGAATTCAGGAGGAAGTTTCATTGTGTTTTATGGCATAAATGTAATGAAGTTATTGGAAATAATGAGTAAAAAACAACCCCCCAAAAAAACAGCATTCTATGATAGCTGACATCTGCAGTACATCACATTATTGGTTCAACGGTGGAATTTTCTCCAGGTTGGGTGAACGTTTTTTTTTTTTTTTTTTTTTAATAGTGGATTTTGTCACAGGATTCAAATAGGGATTATTTGCCAGCAAAACCAAATCTCAACACACACACACACACACACACACACACACACACACACACACACACACACACACAGTAGGATGATTCTTGCGCTAGAATTATAGCGTGCTGTTTGGACTTTAAATATCTTTTGTGACAAGAGTCCTGGAATCTTTCTGACACTGACAGATTTCAATTTCTAATATCTCCCTTCTAAAATGTATAGGTTAGACCTCTTCCCTGGACAATTGTGGTCCAAAAGTCAAACAGGTCATCATGAACCGTCCAGCTCCTGTGGAACTGTGCCACAACCACATGCGATTTCTTATTACACATAACCCAACAGACAGCACCCTGGGCTCCTTCACGGAGGTAAGAGTCTTCATGCCAAACAATGTCACACTGAACAAAAATGGCAGGAAATCTTTGGTTGCACATGGTTAAAATGTGATAAAGTGATGCAATTTTCCCCTCTTTTCCTCAAAAACAATCAAACGATAAATGTTGGTTTAACACATAATAATCATGCGCAACAAACGTTCGTGAATTAAGTAAATCCAAAGTTTTATTTTATTTTATTTTTTTTTTTAATATATGTTACTGAGGAAGTAAACTTGCAGGACTAAATTCATCTACTATTGTGTTCCAGGACCTGAAGCGATTCGGAGTCACAACAGTGGTTCGAGTCTGTGACATCACATATGACAAAACGCCACTGGAGAAAGATGGCATTACTGTGGTGGTGAGGACGCACCTGTGTACACACATACACTAGTCACAACAATTTAGGTTCATCTGAAAATTTCATCTCCCAAGCTTGCTGAGTAGTGTACGTCTCTCACTGATTCACTTTCATACATTGTTGGCAGCGGTCCCTCTCTCAGTCTGTGCCACCATAAATGTCCACACAAAAACAAGTCATCACAACCAGGTTTTAAGTGTCGGGATGGACACACATACCGGTACAAGTATATGAAGGTTTCTCACTGCTTCTCATTTAGGACTGGCCATTTGATGATGGTGCCCCGCCCCCCAGTATACTAGTTGATGATTGGGTGAGTTTACTGCAGAAGAAGTTTCAGGAGGAACCTGGATGCTGTGTGGCTGTTCACTGTGTGGCAGGCCTCGGAAGGTTAGCTACACCTCAAATGAGGTTCAGAGTTCATACAGTACAGAATGCACACACATGATTACAACGTTATTGTCAGACATTTCTAGATGTTGGTACAGATTTATTTAGACTACTGTAAATGTAGGTATGGGGTGTGAGTACAAATAGCAACTGTTCTAAGACATTGACAAAGAGTGCTTATTTATCATACAGACGTACAGTAATTGTGTTTGTGTCTATATGTCCACACAGGGCTCCCGTGCTGGTTGCACTGGCTTTGATAGAGAGTGGAATGAAGTATGAAGATGCTATTCAACTGATTCGACAGTTAGTATATTACAACCTTATTTTTAATTAATCAAATATTTGCAAGAAATAATTGTGATAGGGATCACGACAACTTGTTTATAACCTCAAATCTGCGGTCAGAATATGGAGGCTACTTGGTCCTCATGCTCTTTGGGGATGTAAGAACAATACTAATGAACAGCCTTTTTTGTTTGGCAAAGCACCAAAGTATTCTTGCAAATAAGGGAAATAAGTATTCATAGTATATCTGGAGTTATAATTTATTTGAAATCACTAAATTTCCGTCTCAACTTTTTCTATGTTAAAGAAAGCGTCGTGGAGCCATCAACAGTAAACAACTAACTTACCTGGAGAAGTATCGATCCAAGCAACGACTCCGCTTTAAAGGCTCTCACACCAACAAGAACAAGAAGTGTTGCACTATGTGAAGACACACAAACACAAAGTCAGTCACACGTTGGGGCAAAAGAAGACTGCTATACCCTATAGAGGCCTTGCCTAGGAAGTAATGCTTTTTGTTACCCCCCTTTCATTACAATCCACTGTTTTCCCGGTTTGCAATAACGTTGGGTCTTTAAAAAGAGTATTACATTTTGGATGTTTGCTTCAGTAGCTCGACCAGCGATGAGGGAATGGAAAAAGTGGGCAAGTCTGATTGTTGAGGCTTGGTGAGGTTGCTTAGGAACAGATAAGACAGTTCATTGAGGAAAGGGCGGGTTAATCTTGCAGCTTGTGATTCCAAATATATTGGGACATTTAGGTTGTTGTTGTTGTTGTACAGATATTCCGTATAATTTATTGACATCTAATTTTTTATTCTTGGATGCCCCAAAGTTGTCTAACTTGAAACAATTCGGAGAAAAAAAGAAGACCGGAAGGGCTTATCTTGTCCGAGATGTATTTCACATGAAAATCTTAATGCTGTAAACATGTTGGTACCCATAAAGCCTTCTCTGGTTTTCACAGCCAACAGCCAATGTTTGAGTGTTTACATTTCAGAGTGTGCATTTTTTTTATCCATCTACAAATGATTGGTGTTATAGAGAAGGTTTTGGAATAAACAATATGCCAACAATAACCATACATGTACACATGTGTTAATGACAGAAACATTAGAATAAAAGAGAAAATAATAATAGGAATAATAAATGAAAATTAACCAGTGAAAATCAGACAAAGCTTTTGACAGAGGTGTCCATTTTACAAAATTTTACTGGTCTTGGGTCATCCATCATTTTTCAAGCCGAACAAAACAATAATCGTCAGTCAGTCAGACCGTCGTATTATTTTAACCGGGTTTCCTTCAGTGCTTAGTCCGTCATTAATTTTTTTTTTTTTTTTTGTATTTTCCTTTCATTCATCAACAGTCAGCAAAATGGGCATCCGTCATTGCTGGACTGACAGACCTTCCGTCAGTACTGACGAAAAGCCCACCTCTGGCTTTTGAATTGGGGTTCAACGGAATTATTGTAAAACAACAACAAACCCGTGACCCAGGCCTGGACAAAAATGATGGTACGTTTTAATTTATTTTGTTACATAAACATTTGAGGCAGTTACTGCAATCAAACTATTTTTCTAACTTTCAAAGAGATGTATGCCGGTCTCACAAGGTATTTTGGTCCACTCTTCATAAGCAAACTGCTCCAGTTCTCCCAGGTTTGAAACGTGCTCTATGCAGACGTCATGTTTCAGCTCCTGTCACAGCTGTTCATTGAATTTCGATCAGGACACATAGAAACCAATAAAGAATAGTCCAATGTTTTGCTCTTGGTTGTTTTTGAAGCTATGTTTTGGGTCATTGTCCTCTTGCAAGACTTGTGACCTGCGACGGAGACTACGATTTCTGACACCGGGCAGCACGTCTCTCTCTAGACAACGTTAATCGTCTTGAGATTTCATTGCACCCTGTACAGATTCAAGACACCCAGTGCAGATGAAGCAGATCAGTCCCAGAACTAGAACAGAGTGTTCTGCATGTTTCACAACAGGCACACTGTTCTTTTCTTGGCATGTCTCATTTCTGAGTCTGTGAACACACAGCTGAAGTGCCTTGCCAAAAAGTTCTAGTTTTGTCCCATCTGTCCAGAGGACATTGTCCCAGAAGCTTTGTGGATGGTCAACCTACAGTTGTTGTTGTTTTGGTGATTCATTTTCAACAGCTTTTTCCTCCTTGGTCATCTCCCACAAATTTACTTTGGCTCAGAAACGACGGAAGGTGTACTCTGACGCTGATGTACCTTGACCCTAGAGTTGACCTTTACTGTAATTTCTTTGAGGTTTGTTCTGGGCTCTTATTACACAATTTGTATTCTCTTCAATATGTCATTGATTTTTCTTCTGGGTCCGGTTCCAGGGAGTTTGGCTACAGTCCTGTGGACCTTAAATTTCTGAATAATATGTGCAGCTTCAGGAACACCAAGCTGCTTGGGGGTGATCTTGTACCATTAATGTGTTTGTCTATCATTTTCTTTCCGTTTACCTTTGCTTCATTTGGTCCTTGTTTAGTGTGTTTACACACTATGTCACCAAGCAGCACAGGGACTACTTGTCACCCTTGATATAAGCCTAAAATGGTAATTAGTGGACACTTATTGGTTGAACATATCCCTCTTGTCAAATTATTTACAATCTTTTCGAGGGGTCTCATCATTTATTTTCAGGCTTGTCAATTAGTTTTTTTCAAACACAGTAATTCTATTGAACTACAATTTGAAAGCAACATCTGATTTTCGTTAGTTAATTTTCATAGTTTTTTCATGTATTTATTATTATTATTATTAGTAGTAGTAGTAGTAATAGTAGTTTTCTTTCATTAACAGATGGGTGCTAACAATTTTGTCCCCGTGTGCATATGATCAAAAAATGCCTGAAAGGTGTGGACTAAATGTAAATATAAAATATATATGCTTGAGTCAATGTCTTGTGTGATTTTTTTCTTCTTAAAGACTCAACAGCTCCAGAATTAAATATTGGAGCAGAAATAGTGCACACACAAATGCCATGGCCCAAAATATTTGTTTGGTTGAACAATCCAATCGTTTCATTTAGGTTCTGTAATATAAACACACATTACAAACTCATAATTGAGACACATTTTCACTGTTTAGTTTTTTGGAGTGTTCTTTTAACTGTTAATACATTGTAGTCAAATTGAGCCTCACAGTTTGAACTTAGTGAACAGTACATCTCAGCAGTAGGAGGTCACATTTGCTTTCTCCACGAAAAAAAGCAGATTGCCTTTTTTTTTAAATTTATGAATGTGATTTATAGCATGAACTGAACCTCTTCATGCTGAATGGTTTCAGTGTTACCAAAGCGACCCCCTTTGAAACTACAACAGCTTTACAAGATGCAAAAGTGTAACAACTGTCATAACTGTGCACACCGACCTAGTTTTATTGCTTATCATAGGCTGAGTCATGGGATGATTACAGTATTCTTGCGAACATTAAGCAAGTTTTAGGTCGAGCCTATTACAATAGCTGAAAGGCCGAAATGCGGGTCAAAGCTGGTAATTTTCGGTGAGCAGTTTGAAGCTGTATTCAGTTCTAAAGTGACAATTGTCTGCCATTATGTAATATTATCTAAACTGATTACTCTTTAGAAATAAGCAAATTACATTGAGGGCATTCGAACTGTCAGATAGCAGCTGTGAGCATAATACACAAAAAGAGGTCAGTCCTCCGTCCCTCATTTTTTTCCGATGATCTGCGATTTAATAATGTACATCCACGACCCCAGTGAGGTTTCGCGATACAGAATGGATGGATGGATTTACAGTACTGTGTATTAAAATATTGAAAAGGCTTTACCACTTAAGACGTGGAAAAGACACAAAAACACTGAAAAAACACTTTCTCATTATTTATTATTATATGCAACACTTAACATTTTGAATGTTGCGATTTCTTATGAAAGCGTAAGCGAAGCTGAATAAACAGGTTGAACACACAGTTGACCCAAATTGCAGTGGAGTCCTCCTCTAAACAGGAGGCGCTATCGGTTGTAGGAGCCACAAGCCCAATCCCCTTCCGCTGGATAGGAGGACATGTTTCACACATTCGTCAGAAATGTATTATATTCGAAGTAATAATCAGACACAAAATTATATTTTTGGAATAATACCTACGTTGTTTCTAAGATATACTGATTAATAAATTGCCACATATTTTCTTTGAAGACGTGAAAGAAAATGGACGGGCAACAAACAGGTATGATTTTACGTTAGCTTTACGTCGAATATGTCAGTCGGTGCTGACTGTTAGGCCGAGTCGACATAAACAAATGTGTCAATGGTCGCTTTTTCGGTACACAATATTTCGGACGACTTGCCAATTCCCTCCTCCACTCAGACACATTTGATGCGCTAAAAGCTCATACAGTTCGCAAGTTTTGAGACAGCGTGACCGTCGTCGTATGGCGACGCGTTGTAGCCATTATAATTGGTTATTACTTGATGGCAGAGGAGTGCCCGCCTTTTACTAACACTCTTAACAGGAGTCTACCTATCTTTTTGAGTTTCGCAAAATTACAAGAAGGTTAAACAAAGTGACGTCTAATTAATTCTCATGGTGGACAGTAGTTAATTGCCTGAAGATACCGCTGATTTGTGCACGCTGTCTGCTAATGATTATCCCACACATTCAATGGAGGAACACCACTCGGCTTTCAAAAGCACGAAAACTGTCACCGAAACATTTAAACGATGTCCATGAAATTTGAATGGGAGCGACATGTCCTGGGCAAGAGAGAAAATGTCTTTTCGAATAAAAGATGGAAATCAGGCTATATAAACACAAACACTGAATGTAATTTAAAGGCATGGCTGGAGTGATAGGTGCTGAACTGAAAGTCTTAACAAAATGAAACATGAGGGTCAACTAGCAAAAAACACATGAAACAACTCCCATTGCACCTGTTATGTTTTACCAATTTGCAGGAAGAATGAGACACAAATTCACGTGAAACACATTTCTTCATTTAGGCCTAATGAAGTTTCAATAATCCAAATTCAAAATGAAATTGCGCTTCTCTATTTAATATCCTGCCCATGCATTATTTGTTGATTGGTTTGTTGGTCCATGGATTCATTCTTTCATACCAATAAAACTATTTCCATGAAATTGCTCATGTTTGCCATGAGTTGTGTGGTCTGGAACTTCCACCAAATAACAGTCACAATTCAAAATCAGTAAACTGCACAGTTTGGGGTTCAAATCTCGACTCTGGCTTTCGTGTGGAGCTGGCACATTTTCCCCGTGTTTGTGGGGTGTTTTCCCCATGCCGTCTGGATTTTCTCTCACATTCCAAGACCATGCATGTTAGGTTAATTGAAGACTTCTACTCCTCCTACTCTTTCCCAATGTCAACCGGGACAAGTTCCAACACCACAGGCAACCCAAATACGGACCAGTGGTATAGATAATGAATGGAAAGTCAATCCACAATGTATCTGTCTCATAATCCCGTTCTTTTTGTCTCCCCAGCTGGTTCTGTGTTCATGTGTCGGCTCTGCAACCAGTTCTCTCCCAATCACTCACTGCTACTGGACCATTGCACCCAACTGCACCCGCTTCAGGAGCCTTATGAAGACATCATTCTTGCTCTAAAGCCTCTTGCAGGAGTTCCCTTGGAGACCTTCGCAGGTCAGATCAAGATGATCTGGACTTCCTCATTCACAATCATTAAACATTGATAATTTTTCGGAATAACAAATACTAAACAAACATTATTCCAGCTAAACTCCCTTTTAATTTGACTCTGAAAACAATGATGAAAAGAGCAAATGAAATGTATGACTAAATATTTATATTTTGATCCCCATATTTGTACAATGTTTTTGCTTGATATTAGGAGTGTTTTAGTTACTTTGTCTGCAGGGTATCATTTATTAAAGTCAAAAGACCAAACCAGTTTTAACAGTTAGTTATAATATAAAAATTGTTCACACCCCTGCCAAACCCAGTAAATCTTCTGCCAAGGCAAGGAAGCCATCATGGCAAATTTGAATTTTTAGATTTCGATTATGGCTGGAGCTAAAAGAACAGCGTAAATGACTTTTTAAGAGGTTGTGTTGGGGATTTTCATGAAAAGTCTTCACATTTTTTTTCTTTCTTTTTTTTTTACTTTTCAAAAATGCAAGATCAGTATTGAGAAAATGCATTGTTTTTACCTCTTAAAGTGATCATGATAAATTCTAGCATAATCTAGAACATTCAAATCCATAATTTAGAACATTAGATACCGTATGCCTGCCCTGTATTACAGACTATGAACACGGGAACAAAATACTATTTCTACTACGACGATGACGACCATTGATGAATAATAATAATAATAAGAAGAATAAAAGCTTTTTACTTCTACCCAACAGTCGTTTGCTACTTCTTTGTGTGATTTCGAGCTAAGATACTCATTGACGGAAAAAAAAAATTAAGTTTGACCATGAATAATTTTGGCCTTAATTGTGTGTGTTCCGCACAGAGGGCTCAGCAAAGCGAAAACGAGGACGACCGAAAGGCTCCACCAACAAAGCACTCACAGGTCGGAGGGATGACAGAGAAGACTCCACACAGTCTCCAGAAGACAAAGTCCAAAGACAAGAAGGGCAGAAAGAGGAAGTAGACAAAAAAGGTAAAGCACTAAATGATAGATAGGATAGAAAGTAATCTGCTCTTCAATATGTATGCCACTTGCCAGTGTTTTCATCTCTCTGCTAGATGATGACAGCAGGGTATCGGGGCTGAAATGCAAGGACTGCCATCGTTTGTTCAGCAACAGACGGCAGATCGTCAAACATATCTGCCTGAAAGCACAGTATGAGGAAGAGGAATATGAGGACGATGACACAGGTAATGGGGGGAAAAAAAACATACTACAGTGTAACGTAAAAACCTAAAATGTCACATGTCCGAGCACCATTCAATAATGGGTGACCAAGGCAATCATACAGAGAACTAATTCATAACTAACGTAAAAAATAAAATGTGCTTGGTTACTCAAGGCACACATATAATTTGCATGCCTTTCAGACAGCATTTGCAGAGGTCCTGAGGATTCTGAAAATTTGGACCCTCTTGGACCAGATAAAAAACAAAAACAACAAACCCCTAAAAGATTATGGATGAAGAGAAGAAAAGGTAAACACTCCTTCAGGAATATTATTTTCCAGATTATAGTCATGTAATTCATGGCCTAGTCTTGTTTTCTGCATGTAGGAATGACGAATTTTCAGCGTAACAAGAAAAATCAAATCCTTTCTAATGGGGAAAGTCTCACCTCCAAAGAAGATGGACTTGCATCAGGAAGCAAAAAAAGTGTCATCGATGTTTTTCTCATAGAAGACAAGTCACTCCCAGGTCCGTTTTGTGTTGTCAAATTCCGTTTTATTTTTTGCAAGGTGGGTGAGAATACACTTTTAATTTTCAAAACTCTTTATACTTTATATAGGTGTTATTAAAATGATTCCAATAGAGAACATCTCTTCAGGTTCAGAGCGTGCCAACGTTCAGGGTGAGTCTCAGGTGAGTCTGTTTGTGTACTGAACGTAAGTTACTGACCTTCCACCACTACATGGGGAAATGTGTCCTTCCACAAGCCATACGGCTGTAGAACTCTTGACAAGTGAAGCCATATTTTTTATTTTTTGCAGCTTTTTTTCCATCAGTCAAGTAACCTAACCTTACCTAACCTGACCTATTTGGTGATTCAAATCCCAAATGAGAAAAACCTAAACCTGCAGTGTGTCATAATGGAAATATAATTCTATTAGTAAATCTTAAACAACAACAACAACAACTACTACTAGTCCAACTACAAGAAAAAGAATATATAGCAGCATATTTAATTTTATGGTTACGCCTCATCTGAATATGCGCATTCATTATTTTGTGGATATCCAGGTCACAGCAG